TAAATACTGACACAGTCCCCCAGGACACAGTGTAAATACTGACACAGCCCCCCATGACACAGTATAAATACTGACACAGTCCCACAGGACACACTGAAAATACTGACACAGTCCGCCAGGAAACAGTGTAAATAGTGATACAGTCCCCCAGGACACAGTGTAAATACTGACACAGTCCGCCAGGACACAGTGTAAATACTGATACAATCACACAGGAGACAGCGAAAATAGTGATACAGTCCCCCAGGACACAGTGCAAATACTGACACAGTGTCCCAGGACACAGTGTAAATACTGACACAGTCCCCCAGGGCACAGTGTAAATAGTGATACAGTCCCCCAGGACACAGTGTAAATACTGATACAGTTCCACATGACACAGTATAAAAAGCAATACAGTGCCCCAGGACAGAGTGTAAATACTAACACAGTCCCCCAGGACACAGTGTAAATAGTGATTCAGTCCCCCAGGACACAGTGTAAATAGTGACACAGTCCCCAAGGACACAGTGTAAATAGTGATACAGCCCCCCAGGACACAGTGTAAATAGTAACACAGACCCCAGCACAAAGTGTAAATAGTGACACAGTCCCCCAGGACACAGTGTAAATACTGACACAGTCCCACAGGACACAGTGTAAATACTGACACAGTCCGCCAGGACACAGTGTAAATAGTGACACAGTCCCTCAGGACATAGTGTAAATAGTGATACAGTCCCCCAGGGCACAGTGTAAATTGTGACACATTCCCCCAGGACACAGTGTAAATAGTGACACAGTCCCCCAGGACACAGTGTAAATAGTGACAACGTCCCTCAGGACACAGTGTAAATAGTGACAACGGCCCTCAGGACACATTTTAAATAGTGATACAGACCCCCAGGACTCAGTGTAAATTGTGATACTGTCCCCCAGCTCACAGTGTAAATAGTGGCATAGTCCCTCAGGACACAATGTAAATAGTAATACAGTCAGCCAGGAAAAGGTGTAAATAGTGATTCAGTTCCCCAGGACACAGTGTAAATAGTGACATAGTCCCCCAGGACACAATGTAAATACTGATACCGTCCCCCAGGAGACAGTGTAAATAGTGATTCAGTTCCCCAGGACACGGTGTAAATAGTGACACACTCCACCAGGACGCAGTGTAAATACTGACACAGTCCCCCAGGAAATAGTGTAAATACTGATTACACTCCCCGCCCCAGACACAGTGTAAATACTGACACAGTTCCCCAGGACACAGTGTAAATACTGATACCGTCCCCCAGAGCATAGTGTAAAAACTAATACACCCCCCTCAAGGACGCAGAGTAAATAGTGACACAGTCCCCCAGGACACAGTGTAAATAGTGACACAGTCCCCCAGGAGACAGTGTAAACCGTGATACAGTCCTCCTGGACACAGTGTGAATACTGATACAGTCCCCTAAGACACAGTGTAAATGCTGATATAGTACCTTTGGACACAGTGTAAATAGTGACACAGTCCCTCAGGACACAGTGTAAATAGTGATACAGTCCCCCAGGACACAATGTAAATCGTGAAACAGTCCCCCATGACACAGTGAAAATACTGACACAATCCCCCAGGACAAAGTGTAAATAGTGATACAGTCCCCCAGGACACAG